ACTCCTTATCCCAACACATGTTTTTCAGTGTGTGGACACATTTCACAGCCATAGGGGAACACGTTTTTCAGTTACATCTCTAATTTACCCCGTCTTCTTTTTTCTCCCTTTCTCCGCCTCCCCAGATAGGCAAAATGTCAGAGTAAGAGGAAATTGTGGTTACATAGTTGCAATATCTATTATTTTTCCCTGGATTTGAATGACTCATTCTTCACTTGAATGGACCCTGAACTTTGGCCGTTTTTTCTGAGGAATAGTGCTTCTCTGTGTTTCGTGTCTATATGATGGCATGGCATGGTGTGTGAAGAGAGGACCTAACCATGGAAAGTGACAGTGTCCTTTATGATCACTTACTAAATAAAGAAACAGTATCCCAGATTTCTTCTCTCTGTGGCTGAGAACAGCACAGTCGGCATTTCTTACTGGGCCCTGAATGTGCTCTTTGTGCTTCTGCTGACGTCACGAGTCTGATTGTGTTAATGTATTTCTCATGGCACAACCTATACAAGCAATTTTCTCTCCACCATAAAATATTCATGGGAATACAGGCTTTTTTGTTTTGGTGCTGCATTCTTTAAGTAGAGAAGGTTTGATTGTTTTCTCCAGGGCGCTCTGGGTCAGAGGCACTAGCAACTTCTGCTGGGAACTCATGGCATTTCAGCTAGTTTTTGATACTGAATCAGTACAAGTCTTGTCTGACGCACCCGCTGGAGGCTAGGATGAATGGGGATTGTGACTTCTCTCAGCAGCTGGTGTGCAAGACAGGGCTGGGGACAGCTATGGCCACTCTCCCCACCTGGCGTGTCTCTGTGGGGCACACTAGGGTGAGCAGGTAGCGTTTCTTGATCCCTGCATGGCTCTCTGTGGCCCACGTGTGCTGCCACGCTGTGTTTGTGTCTAACCGTAAGTGGAGCATTGTCAGCAGGGGTGGAGGAAAGGCAGGCGCTAGTTTGGGTGTGTCTGGCATAGGTAATGTTCGACTTTTCTTTCTCTCTGCTCTTTAACTTTCTGTAGCAAAAGAGTGACGTTTTCTCTGATACCTCAAAAAGGTAAACCGAGGCAAGACTTTATTCCATTCTAACAGCAAATGTGGAGAAAATGCTGCAGTCAGAACAGTGATGCATTCACTGAGGACGCTTCTGCCCTGGCTCGGCCACCTTCATACCCCACTCGTTTCACTCCTGGCAGCAGGGAGGTTTGTCTGCAGGTTCATCAGCCACATCAGCATACTCCTCACCTGGACCCATTGCTCTTTGGTGTCTGCAGGAGGACTCACCAGCTACCAGGGAGGGTGTCCTTAGAAGATTCCCTGGGATTCCATTCTCAGGAGACTCTGAGGAACATTTGAGTTAACAAGACAAACCTCGGTTTGAATGTGGTGGATGTGCGCTGCCTGCCCCACGTCATTACTGAGCAGGGGCCAACTGAGCGTGCTGCTGTGCCTCAGCATCTTCCATCCTCGTTTGCTTTCCCGAGGCCACCACCCTCTTCTCTTTCAGCCCCTGAACCCGCTGCCAGCCCCTCTGCTTTTGGTCCAGCCTCCCCACACTGCCTGTCCCCCTGCCCAGGGGGCATCCACAGGGCAGGGGATATGAGCTCCTCTGCCTTGGAATCCCCATGACCCCCACACATGCACCCGGACCCCTGGTTCCTTGCTGTGATGCCTCTTCCATGTCAGGGAGATGCAGTCCCTTGCAGGCCTTCTCTGAGCCTTTGTCAGCCCATCCTCCCACCCCCCAATCTGGTGTCCCATTGTAGGCCTGGGCCTGTACCCAGCACAGAGCAGGAGGTCCTGCACACTAGCAGCAGATAAATGTGCATGGACATGGTGGCCCAACACAGGTTTGGTTAATAAAAAGGATCCTTTTACAGTTGTTTTTTGTTCTTGTTTTTTATTATTATTATTGATTTTTAGAGAGAGAGGAAGGGAAAGGGAGAGAGAAACATGGATGAGAGAGCAAAACTTTGATCAGCTGCCTCCCGCATGTCCCCTACCGGGGAGTGAGCCTGCAACCCAGGCATATGCCCTGACTGGCAATCGAACCAGTAACCTTTTGGTGCATAGGACAACACCCAACCAACTGAGCCACACCAGCCAGGGCTATGTTTAGTTTTAAGAGATTATCTATGGGGCATTTCTGATGGCCCCCCTGCCCCATCTATGAAAAATTAGAAAACAGGGAGAGAATGAGCTCAAGTGGGCAGTGATGAGTCCTCGTTCTGGCCTGTCAGCAATGGCATTGCTGCTGCATAGGGTCTCAGGTCACTTTGGTACATCTTCTAAGTGGGGTCACACCTGACCTCCCCTGCCATAGTGTCCACCAAAGTGACACTGCTCACAAAATGTAGGTGCTATGCTTATTCATTAGTTCTCTGTGGTTATTTACTGAAGCTAAAATAGCACTGTTTAACCAGACAAGCACAGTGTGAGAGAGACCCTGTAGGTTATTCCTACCTCTGAACATAGACCCAGGAGTTCTCTCTAAAACAGTGACCGTGTGTGTGTAACCCAGAAAGGTAGGGTCAGGCCTGTCCTTCGAAAGCAAAGTCAAACTCACCTGAGAAGTCCGTTATGTACCTCACCTATAATCTGTGAGGTAATGAGGCAGGTTAGTGGGTTAGTAGACAATAACTTTTGGATTAGTAGACAATAACGCTTTAATTTGGTATTGATTTGTCAGCATTAAGATTGATTCTGCTGCTGTTTCTAATCTCTGTCTCTAACTTAGTAGACAATAACTGGTGGTCAGTCACAGCAGTGACAGGTTTGGGAGCACTCAGCGTTATTCAAATGTGACAGTGATACCCCTCCAAGCACATGACCTGAATCCCCTCATGGTGTCGAGTCCCCTTGTTGCTAAGCTTTTTTACTAAGCTCCCTTTCCTGCCCTTCATATGACTTTTTCCTTCAGAGAAAGTCTGAAGCAAATGGAGGAAGATATTGAGGTTTTTTAAAACTGGTATTATTTACCCAGTTTATCCAGTTTGCTATATTTTCATAATAAAATGATCAAAACAAGAAAAGCCGGGGGATTAATAAATCTAGTCTTCTCAGGTTGTATGTGGTGGGGGTGGGTGGGATACCACTCTTCCCTGGGCCTGTTCAGGAAAACACTCTTTATTTGTATAGATTTTGTCACATAAAGATCAAATAAAAACCTCTTAATGGGTCAAGTCTGATACCCAATTAGACAAAAATGCATACATTTAAAAAGTTGGGTGTTGCACTTCACTGATTTGGGGAACAGAAGAGAAACAGTCAGCTGGTGTTTACCCCTGCTTGTTAGTGTTAAAAGAGAGGAGCTTGGATAGTTTCTTAAAATGATCAAGTGTGGAGAATTTGTTGGTCGCCCTCTGGGCAGTTCTGTGTTATAGCTGCTTCAGACTCTGAGGTGAGAGCATCCTGGGCAGCTTCCAGCCTGTCAGCTTCCTGGGCTCTGCCTCCATGAGCCATACACTGCACTCAGATGACACATTTGTCAGGACATGGTGCTCAGAGCGCAGTGCCTGCGTCTGCTCGGGGTCAGAACACAGGGCTTCCACACAGCCAGCCTCTCCCTCAGCCCCAGCCTTCCCCGACCTTGCCTTATCAGAAAGGCCAGTGTGGGACCTGCCATCTGGGCAATGACCACAGAAATGCTCTGCCCCGAGGGGTGGTCCCATTTATGGGCTGGGCTTTTGTACCAGAACCTATGGGCTATAGGGCTGGGAGCACAGAACTCCTCAGGAACTGTATATCTGCTACTGGAGGGCTCTGGCCTGAGGGCGAGGTCCTGGGCATGTGTGTAGTGGGGATGACTACTTCCAGGCAGACTCGGGGACCAAGTCATATGCATAACTTGGCCTGTGCTAGGGTCCAGGCAGAGACAGCCCTTAGGTAAGAAAACTGGTCCATGGTGGCCCTGGCCTTTTGAATTGGGGCTCCCATCTGAGTCTTGCAACCCCCTTCAGGGCAAGGCCCCCTTCTCCTGCCCTGGCCTCCGGGTCTGGGCCTAGAGCAGATTGGGGAGACCTTTCTGGAAGTGACCGGGGAGCTGTGGGTCTCTGTGCTGTGCTCTCCCCTCAGCTCCTTCGGGGGCTTTATGAGCAAAGTCCACTTGGGGGGTGCGGGGGGAGAGCACAGCGTGTCTGAGTATCACTGTGGAAAGTTCTCTGGCCACAGTGCAAGCCTCTGTTCATGTATTTTCAAAGTGGAAACCTGTCCCAGCAGGAGCACCCACCTTGGGGTTCTCTTGTGATGTCCATAATTGAAAACTTACATTCCTCCTGTGCTCCTTTTCTCGCTTTAATTTGGTATTGATTTGTCAGCATTAAGATTGATTCTGCTGCTGTTTCTAATCTCAGTCACTGGTGCTGTCCTCTGCCAGCCTTCGAGCCTCAAAGAAGCCGTGGGCTCTGTGTAGCAGACACGGCTCATGCATGTGCCTCTGCAGGCCAGCTGGGAGGCACTCCGTGGGCTGCAGCCAGTAAACATGTTTGCTGAGAGGGCACTTGCTTCGCCATGGAAACAGGCCCTCGTCCTGAGCATCTGTCTGGACCACTCTGTGGCACACACTGTTCTGTGTTTCCGGTACACAGTTCTTCAGTGACTTGGTGAGCAGGAGGAAGCGACACCGCAGTCAGCCTCCGTACTTAGTGCTGTTCAACCCTCTCCGGAGTTCTTCCCTTTTCTCCTTGTGACTTTCAAACTTGCTTTCAGAAAAGGTGATGGGCCTGCAGTGACTTCCTGTGAGAGAGCAGGGGGCAGTGTGCGTGAATGTGTCCTGGTCTCACCTTCATGATGACTGTGATTTTTGTACTTGAAGAGTAGATCCTCTCATAGGCTGCTGAGTCTCTCACTGTGAACCTTTTGGGCAAGAGTTGGGGAGAGGCATCTGAAATGTGAACTGTCCTTCAGCATGCGGATACCCCTTGCTGCTTGCTAAGGGTCTGGGTGGTTGCTCAGGCGGGGGACGCCGTGGCCTGCAGTGACCATGCTCTGTGTTGTGCTCTCTCTGCAGTGGATGTGGCCTCGGCGCTGCCTTTGCAGGTGGCTCCCTCGGCGGTGCCCATGGACCTGCGCCTGGACCACCAGTTCCCGCTGCCTGTGGCGGAGCCCGCCCTCCGGGAACAGCAGCTGCAGCAGGAGCTCCTGGCTCTGAAGCAGAAGCAGCAGCTGCAGCGGCAGATCCTCATCGCAGAGTTCCAAAGGCAGCACGAACAGCTGTCGCGGCAGCACGAGGCCCAGCTGCACGAGCACATCAAGGTGAGTCCTGGTTCCAGCACCTGCTTTCTCACCGTGATCCTAGCTGCTGAGCATGGTCCCTAGCAACCAGCTGCACCGTTAGGACTCACAGGCAGGGACATTCCTCGCCATGCCCCGAAGACAGATCACTGGATGCTGTATCTTCAGCAGCAGGGTGTTGGCCAACTAAATTGTGGCAGATGTAGTATATAGTGGAAACAGTGTCTAAAGTCCCAGTGTAGGATGTACTTAAAGCAGAGAGAGTGCTTCTCATCTAATTTCACCTGCCAATACATGTCCTGAAATAGGGAAATTACCAGTAGGAATAGTAACCCAGGTTATCTCTTGGGTGGTGTCTACCTCTTCTCATTTTGTCCTACTGATCTTTTGTAACTGGAAAGAGGTGTTAACATTTTCTTATATTTAAATAGAATAAGAAAAACTAACATAGATCTTTTTTTTTGGGGGGGGGGGGGTGCTTACTCTATACAAGTATCTAATCATATTCCAGATTTTAAAATTAAATACATAGGAAAGAAACATGTATTAGTGAAATGTAGCGAAGGTACAATATGTAGTTAACAGTCCTGGTGTGATGTGCTGGTCCTGATAAGCTCTCATGGTATTCGAGCCATTCAGAGCAGCATTGCCCTATAGAAAAATATAGGGTACGTTACAATTATGTAGGTAATTTTACATTTCCTAGTAGCCACGTTAAAACAAAGCAAAAAAACCCATGTCGTGTAAGTTATTTATTTCTATGTAACATATTACCCCACAACTTAGCAGCTACAACAATAGACGTGTATTATCCCCTAGTTTCTGTGGGTCGAGGACCCAGGAGCAGCTTAGCTGGAGGTGGGGGCTTAGGGCCTCTCATAAGGTCAAGCTGGCATTCAGGGCCACAGGATCCATGTCCAAGCTCACATGTGTTTGTGGGCAGGAGGCCTCAGGTCCTTATCATGTGGGCCTCTCTCGCAGCCCCCAAAGCACATAGAGTGCATGCGTGTGCTCCCAAAGGCGGGCCCCTCACTGCCCTTCACTGTGTGTCTCTATCAGTCACATGTCCATGCCTCCCAACGTGGACATGGGTTTGCAGGCCCAACACAACTATACCTGGCTGAAGGAAGACCTCAGTAGCTACCTATTGAATTGCATTGTCCCTCACACTCCTGTCATCATGCACTAATACAGACAGCGCCAGTGTCCTACCTTGTAGGCATGGTTCGTGCCAACCGGCATTAAACATGTCTCATGTAGGAGTCTGTTGAATTTATAGTTTTAGAAAAAAAATGAGATTTTGAGAAATAAACAAACCCCATGTATATGAGGTCATCAGGGCAGCAAGAATCATCAAGACCCTTGAGAGGGCGGTGCTGCCGTCACAGGGCAAGTGGGCTTCCCGCAGCTTGGTCCTCTGACTGCGCTGGGTCTGGTGTCCTGACCCTGTTCCTGTTCTCACCTGGCACTTCAGGAATTTGTATCCTTGCCATGGAGATGGGAGAGTGTCCTTCCCGAGTCCTCATGTCAGCCTGTGCAGGGCCGGCCTGGCCGTTGGGCGCTTCTCATGCCCTTGTCACGAAGAGAGCTCAGGCCTGGTTCTCCACACACAGGAAAAATCTCAAGGTCACATGTTCTCTGCATTTTAATCATTTGTTTTTCCATTTAAAATGGAGATCATAAAAGCTGTTTAAACTTTGTAATTGTATCATTACATCAGCGGCTTTTGTTTTGATGATTTAAACCCTCTTCCTAAGCTGTCACATTGTTAGTGACATTTGGCAGTCGTGTTTGCCAGACAGAGCTCTTGAGCACACAGTCTAATTAGTGCCATTAAATCATCAGTGAATTTGAGTAGAAACTTGTAAATAAGAAGGGAGTCATTTTTAAAATATGACTTAAATTGTTAACTTTGGGTGCAGAAGATCTTTAATGAGCTCTCAGTGCTCAGTACTGCACGTGACTTTGACAGTTTCTCTGCGAGTCAGGCTGTTTCAGGTACCATGTTCCTACTTGCATCCTACATGGTTAGTTCTCTCCTTTCCTGAACAAGGTCCCAATGAGCACTGTACCTGAGGCGGGGTGTGAGAGAGCCAGAGTTTGGGGTGTGGGGAATATCTGTGCCCAGAAATTGTGAACTTTCACCAACTGGGATAGCACAGATAACTAAAAGACTATTTTCTAGATTTGCTGCTTTGGGAGTTGTTATAGTTTTAATTCTTTTTATTTTATCAAAGAAATACATGTTTTTAGTGTTTCAAATCAAAAAGTGGGGTTAACCAACAAAGCTGCCCCTCTCTGCCCTCCATCCGGATTCACAGGCCCTAGACCTCGTCAGGCAAACATTCCCTGTTTAGACAGCCAGCTTTCTCCCTGCAGGAAAGAACCCAGCGAGCAATTTCCCACTTGAGGGAAGAACTGGCTCTCCTGCTCAACCCCCACACACATACACAAGGCCACTTCTTGGGGGCCACTTACTGGTATACTTAGACTTTACTCTGCTTAAAGACCTACTCAGAGTCTCCCTTCCTGTGTCAGTCTGTGTGCGTATTGCTCACACTTGGCACTCGGGGAACCACATGCCCTTTCTGATACAGCTCTGGGGTTTCCCTGGAGTGAATCATTTCTCCCTTCCCATTGGCTTAGGTCCCTCTTCTCTGATGTAAACCAGTCCCACAGTTTGAGAGGCCTTGGAGCTCTTCTCACAGTGGCCACTCACTGATGAGTGCATTTGTAGTTGTCAGCGGCTATTTTTAAGTATAATGATACAATCACATGGTTTTTGTATTTCCAAGTATCTGAAATTGGAATGTATTGCATCTTTAGATCAGGATCAATAATTTAAATATTCGTTTCATGCAAAGGGGAAATGATTTTAGCATCTAAGACCCACTAGGTCCTTCCTGCTTGTGTGGTGATGCTTACCGTTTTATAGGACTGCAAGGACTGTATTGCAGGAGCGTCTCAGTTACCTTTTGCTGTGTAGCAAATGACCCCAAATATAGCACTTACCACAGTAGTCATTTTGTATGTTAAGGGTTGTTTAAGCTGCTTTTCAGGCCTGGGATTTCTCTCTGTACCTACAGCAGTGGGGTGACCTATAATTGCCTCACTTTCTGGTCTGATGTTTGGCAGGCTGTTGGGGGGCAGGGGATTATTTGCTGGTTTCAGAGTTGCAAGCTCAGCAGAAGGGCAAGTGTGTTTTCCCTCTAGGATGTTACTGCCCCACTGGCCAAAGCAGGTCTCATAGCTAAGGTCAGAGTTCCTTTGGGAATAATATCCAAGGGAATGGGTACTGGGGACATGCAGCAACAGGGCCAGAGTGCATGCAGGAGGGATGCTCACTCTCATTCAGAGGGGACAGAAGACATGTTCAGCAGTGACTCGGGCAGGAGTTGGGTGCATGCAGGAAGAAGGGGCAGGACACTGGAAACCCGAGTGCAAGCCAGTTCACTATCTTAGCCACCCTCTAGTCTGGGATCAGGGGTGCCATCCCAGTATCTCCAGCCATGAGCAGGAATGTTTCTGTAAATGCATGTTGTCTTCATGTTTTGCAGATACTTATATTTTTGTGTTGGGAATGTATCAAACATTTAGCTTTAGTGATAGACACATATGAGCATCTTTAGTTGGAAGCGGTGTTGACACTTGTCTGGGAGCTACTGGGAGTTCTGCTGTCTTGTTTCCCTGGTAGAGGCCACAGCCTTCCCAGTTGGGGTGTTTCTTTCACTCACTTGATTTGCAGTCCAACCTTTTCTGCAGTCTGTGGTCTATGGATTTGTATCTCTTTAAAAAAAATACTTTCCTCTGTCCCTGTCGGTGCTTTCAGGGCGGTGGAGGTCAGGCCTGTGTTCAGTCAGCCACATTCACCCAGATGTTGGCCCTCCTCTTTAGTCATTCACTTACAGAACCACACCCATAGACCTTCCTCCTGAGCATCCCAACTGGCGAATCCATTGCACCCCCAGAGGAACAACCCACTGGTAATGTGTCCTGAGCATCAGCGGGAGGAGGAGGAGGGTCTGAGGCCCCAGGCCTCCCTAGTGGTTGTGTATGGATAGATTCAGCCCTATGCTTGCGTTGGCATTGCAGGCTGTGTTGCTGTTATAAGGAATGTTTTCATGGTGTCCTCTTTCTGATTGTAAAAGTCATTAGTGTTAATGATTTGAATAGTTGAAAATTACAAAGGAGAAAATATTGCTCCCGTGCTATTAGGTAGGAAGGCTGTTAATGAAGTTCTGTGATCTTATGTACTAGTGAGCTGTGTGCATGTGTATGTGTAATGTTACAGAATGAGGTCAAACTCTGGTGTATTTTTATTTACTGTGTTGTCAGCATTTCCCTAAACCATCCCATACACTGCGAAAGTATGATTTTAATGGTTTTATTGTAGTCTTATAGTAAGTCACAATTTAAACAACCACTAATACCCGAATAGTTGAACATTAAGATTATTTTCAGTTTTTCATGTTTTTACTTTCTTTGTGCATGAATCATCTGCATATGTCTAGACAGAGTAGAAATGGCATTGCTGACCCAAGATAAGTACTTTTTTGTGGCTTTTGTTACCCATGTTTATCTCCAAAATCTATACCAGCTGAGTGTACATGTGTCTGTCTGTCTCCCTCCCTCTGTCACACATGCACACACACCTTGCTTACTCTATGGACAAAATAGCAAAGCAGTAGTAACCATGACAGGCGCACTTACTGAGTCGTCCTGGGTGGGGCCATTCGTGCTGGGCACTGCACAGGTGCTCTCCCTCACACCCACAGCTGCCCAAGGAGCTGGTGCCCATACCTGCTCCTCCACTGATGGGGTTGTCCCTGTCCTGCAGTGACCACCCCTCCCTGGCAGTCTGAGGCCTTAGCGGGACTTGTTCCCATTATATTTCCGTTCTGTGTCACATTGTGTCTCTATTTCTGCGATTGTGGGCAACCGTATTTATATATGCTTATTCACTTTTTCTACTATTTATCATTTTCTTTGCTGTTCTTCTGTTGTAGTGCTGGCCTTTTCTT